AGGGAAAAAAAAAAAAAAATACACAAATAAGACTAAGTTCTCTCACAGCTTTATTGAGCATAAATCAGTGATCAGCCATCCAATGTGTTGGATGCTAACTGCTTATTTGTTTTAAAACAACTAAGTTTTTTCCTGGTTTACATAACCTCCAGAGTCTTTGCACCATTTACATAGGTGTGCAGAGGTATTCATTAAGATGTTTTTGATTCTACAGTGACAGTTTTGTATCAGGAGAAAATTCTAATCTATCTTTGTCAAATCAAAAAATATATATTCCTCAAGACCCAACTGAAAATGAAAGCTCATCCCAGAGCATAAATAGATGTTTCTGTTCTTTAAGATTCCCTCACTTACAGAGATCATCAATAAATATGGTTACACAACAGTGAAAGATCCAAATAATACAGCCTTTGTTTGCATTGTTAATCTAACTATGAAAAAAAGAGCTAATCATTTTCCAGCTTTGCTTATGCTCTGAAACACTGCCAGTCTGTTTTACATATCTCTGTTGATGAATGTGTATGTGTTCATTTGGGTTTCATTTATGAGACAAATGCTTTCCAGTGCACCATTGTGCACATGCTGCTCTATTCAGAGTGGTCTCACCCTAAGAGAATACTTGTTTGTCATTGTTCACAACACTTTATTCATTGGAAAACACCTGCCAAAGGGCAGAGTAAATCAATACAAATATTTCAATGCTGCTGCAACCAGACATCTTTTGGTACCCAAGCAGTATTACTTTAAAGCTCATACCTTATGCTACATTGGATGAGGCAAATAATACAACTAATCTAAATATATTAACTAGATGACAGCTTTCCTTAGCAAATAAGCAAAGAACATGGAAAAGACTCTTCCAAAAATACTCTGAAGAATGATTGTGCAACAGTTGGCAATGTCAGACAATTGAAGAGTTTGTTTTTTTCGTAATTTCATAGCACTGCTGAAGTTTTCTCCCTGTTTACAACAAGGTAGCCAGGAATTCAGTTGGGTTATTTAACCCTTGTATTCCTATAGGTGCAGCAAAAGACAGCAGTGAAAATGAAAGATGTTCTCAAAATAAGAACATGGATTTTTTTTTTTTTCCTAGATGTATACTCTTCACTCAGGCAGAAGGCAAAGAGTCCAACAGGAAAGCCTAACAAATCCAAGGTAGAACAAACACAGTAACACAATTAGTTTTCTACTGATATTTACTTTTTTTTTTCTCCAGTTTTAGCACCCTGATGCTTTAAAAGACCTCCTTTCTAACTTAAACACAACATGAGGAAATAAATAGTTATGGTTTAATCCATCACACAGCTATGTGTCACACAGCTCACTGATGTCCCTACCCTACCACCCTAGCATGTGGGAAAAGAACTGGACAGAAGGAAGCAAGAACTTCAGTGCTGAAGTAAGGACAGTTTAATAAAGAAAAAAAGGGGCAGGGGGAGTATTATCAAATCATGTACAACAACACTGAGCATGATGCCATATGATATGTGACATCCCTTTGGTCAGTCTGAGTCACCTGTCTTGTGTCCCCTCAGTCTCCTTGCTGGCAGGGCAGCACAAGAAGCAAGAAAGTTCTTGACTCTGTGACAACCAAAACAGTGTGTTATCAACTTCATTCTCATCATAAAATCCAAAAACAGAACCATATCTACTACTAGGAAGAAAATTATCCCAACCAAAACCAGGACACAGGTTTCCCTAGGACTAGACTCCTCATCAGCATCTCTGCCAACCTCTATTCTACATTTCCCTTTATCACAGTCTTCCTTTTCTGGCTTCTCAGTTTTTATCTGTGCCTATACTCCTTTATTTCCTTTGTCTCCTCCTTCTTATAGGAATGAACAGATACTGCAATTTGCTTGCTCTTCTTCAGGCAGCTATAAAAGCAAGTATTTTGTTTGCAGTATGTCCTGCTAGCAATTCACAGACTCCTGTGATTGCCGGACTAGACAAATGATAGAGTCCTTCTGTTCTGAGCAGGTGCCATGTTACAACGATGATTTGAATTTTGTCTCTCACAGATTTTATTAAATTAAAAACAGATAGATGAAGCAATAACCAACCCCTGGCTTCCATCCTCACCTCTGACAGCTGTCACCATCCTCAAGGCAGGAGGGTCATGAACAGATAGTTTTTCAAAGTATCTTAGTAAGCTGAACTGAGCTTGAATTTTGAGGTTTTCAAATAATTTCAAGGAGGCAGAGAGTATATCTGGAATAATATTATTCAGTAAACTAGCCAGCTGAGAAAGAAATATAAAGAAAATTGAAAACAGCAGGGAACAAAAGCATTGAGTCTTCTGAATATGAACTGTGATAATAATTCTCTCAATTAGAAACTGTTCACAATCAAAAGCATGCTATGTTAGGTTAACTATAAAGTTATAAAACATTAGAGAATTTAGACTCTGAACTATGAAGAGCATGGTGAATGTTATCTAATTAGTGATGGATATAATGCAGAAAGTCCAAGCTCTTCCAGTTCTTGAAATAAGACAATTTTTCAGAATGTTAGAGAATTGGTAGGCTTTTATCTTAAGGATCAAGTAACCTAGTTCTGTATTAATTAAAATTATAACTGCATTCTCCAGTGGACTCGCTATTAGTGAGGTTATATAGAAAGTATTTCATTGTTGTTGTTAATGGAAAAGTATATTCTTTTTCCTCAGCTTCACAGGACTGCTGGCTATGTGTATGAGAACAATTTCCAGTGGAAACAGTTTTAATGCAAGTCCTAGGTCTTCTTGAAGAAGAAAACCTTCTTTATTCCAGATAATCATGCTATGGAATTAGAAAAGCAACACATTCCCTTCTCCATTTTAGACATCTAACATGGAAAACACTTTCCTGGATTCAGCTCCAGTCCTCCAGATATTACTGAAAATCTCTTGTGCTTTGAGAAAACCTCCATCATGTATGCCAGACAAAAAACAGGAGGCAGAGGTATCTTTAAATATTGCTTTGAATCCTGGAACAGATGGAAATTGCTCCAACACAATAGCCAACCTATGTTATTGCCCAGATCCACAACAACTGAATTTCCCCATATCCAAGAGTGGTACATCACTGCTTTTGCAGTCTTCAGGAACGTCCATGCAAGGTCATGCAAACAGCCCAAACACAGTAGGCTACAGGGATTTTGAGACTAAAAATAGTACAGTATCCAAATACTAGAGTATTTGAATGCTAAGGAAAGAAACACAATGATCATAGACCCATGCAAGATTGCATCATGCTGTAATGTGAACAGCAACAGCATAGTACTTGCCACAGCAAGTACAAGTGGCATAGTAGCAACCTCATTCAGCCTCCACTGAGAACCAGGGGAATATGAAGTTCTCCTTTTAATGTCAGTTAGAAGAGGAAATAAATAACATTATTACTATGTGTCCCTCAGTGGTATGGGGCTCACAGAAGATGAACTTATTGATAACACCAGCAGAAAAACAATTAATTCAGACTATAATCCTGAAATATAAACAAAAGTGAAGAGTTACTGGAGCCCTGAGTGAGAATTAAAAACAAAAACACTGAAGTAGATTTCCTGTAGTGTTATAACCAGGACTGAAAAAAAAGAAAATAGAAATGAGTTTCTGTTTGTTTATTTTCCCCTCAAAACTCCACAGGAAGTTGGGGCAGGAGGTGCTCCAGGCTCCAAAGCAGCAGCTCCGCTGTGGCCTGTGGAGAGGCCCCCGGTGGAGCAGGCTGTCCCCCTGCAGCCCATGGGTCCCCCACGGAGCAGATCTCCACGCTGCAGCCCCCCCGTGGGTGGAGGAGCCCCCGGTGGAGCAGGTGGATGTGGCCTGGAGGAGGCTGCGGCCCATGGAGAGCCCCCGCAGGAGCAGGCCCCGGGCCGCAGCTGCAGCCCCCCCGTGGAGAGGAGCCCCCGCAGGAGCAGGGGATCTGGGGGGAGCTGCCGCCCAGCCGTGGGGGACCCGTGCTGGAGTAGTTTGCTCCTGGGGGATGGATGGACCCCGTGGGACGGAGCCGTGTGGGAGCAGTGCTTGAAGAGCTGCTGCCTGTGGGAAGCCCACACAGGATCAGTTTGGGAAGAATGGTATCCCATGGGAGGGACCCCACGTGGAGCAGGGGCAGAGAGTGACTGTGAAGGAGCAGTGGAGATGAAGTGCTATAGGCTGACCATAACCCCCATTCCCCTGTACTGCTCAGGGGAGGAGGCGGAAGAGGGTGGATAGGGGGAAGGTGTTTTTTTGTTTGTTTCTGGTTTGTTTCTCGCTTCTCTTGCTTGTTAGTAATAAGCAATAAATTTTATTAATCTCCCTAAGCTTAGTCTGTTTTGCCTATGATGATAACTCTTGAATGATCTCCCTGTCCTTGTATTTACCCTTGAGCCCTTTGCATCATATTTTCTCCCTTTGAGGAGGTAGAGTTAAAGAGTGGTTTTGGTAGAGCTCAGCTGCCCACCTGAGTAAAACCACAACAATGATACACAGGTCTACTACATTACTTAAAATTTGAGGACATGGAGTCATGTTGTTCTTGAAGCAGGATTTGCAGAATATTTGTTTTCCGAGTTTTGGGATGAAAAGATACCTAATAACATCTATTTTCAAATGCTAACATGCATGCTGCATTCTTTCCCTGCTACCTCTACTTGTGTAGAAATTGCTCAATGCAAGAGCAATTCATACAAGGCATAAACACACTTTACCAAGGGATAATAAGTGATTGCTGAACTCTCCCCTTCACCCCCTAAAGATATCAACTCAGTGCAGACAGCTACCTGTGCTAACAAAGAAATCAAGTCAAGGATAGTATCAAATATATGTTTTCCACCAATAATATACTAATATCCATTTTCCACCACCCGAATATACATTCACAGCTGCTACCCTTTGATGCTACTAACATGAGTAGTAGCTTGAGTGAGCTTAAGTTACAGTAAGTTAGAAGTAAGTTACAGAAGGTAGAAGCTTTTGCAAAGTGCATAACTTTATCTTTTACTAAAGAAAAAGTTATGGTTTCTTGGTGGTTAAATACCTTAGCACATTCAGTGACATTCAGCACTGACAACATCTAAGTTCCTCCCACGATATCTCAAGAGGTTATTGTTTCTGAGAGATTGTGAGAAGTCAGGAAAGTTGACCTTGGTCTTCACTGGAAGAGTAGCATTGTCGGGAAGGTAGACTCCCATACATTGCCTGTGGATAAGAGTCATCAGAACTTAACATTAACAAGGATGAAAACAGGCAACCTTATTTTTCCTATAAAATATTATATTTCTCTACAGAAAAAGTTCAGCCAGGGAAAAACCAGGCAAATAAGCTTTTTTATCTTTTTAAACCAAGAAAGCAATTTCACCTTCTTCTACAAAGTAGAAGAGCCAAAAAATACAAAGACCACGAAATGTTACAGAAACATAGACGCATAAATGTCTAGGTTACAATGAAGCTTGAGAAAATACAATGTCCATTTTATTCTACATAAATATACATTTATATAGAATATATACATTTCATCAATATTCCTTCTGAAGTATAGTACGACACATGCTTTAGTTATAGTGATGCAGCACACCATTTAGGAAATTTCTGCGTGATAATGCAAAATACATAGCAATGTAGCAAAGGGGAGACCACACTAAAAGAGAAAAATTATTCTATCAGGTACATCTACTCTCACACTTGGCAAGCTACAGAATTAACATACTTTGTCCAAAGCTCTCCTCTAGACCTTTCTAACACCTCCTATGCCTGTTTTGGATAGTCTGACCTAGCCACAACACCTGCTCTACTGAAGTCTCACAACTGAGAATACTGTTGCATCAACAGCAAGCAAGTGCCTGAGGCTATGCAGCAGGGACCATGGTATATCCAATGCTTGAAAATGAGGATCTGTCTCTATTTGCAGTACTGCATTTGGCTTTGGGAAACAAGAGAAGGTGGCATGTCAAATAAATTGTGCAATTGCATTCTTTAAAGATCAAAGAATGTCTGAAAAAAATCACTGGCTAGTTTCCTCCAGATTATGAGCATATCATTCAGGTCACTAACTTCAAAACTGTTGTTTCATTTTGACAGTATACCCAAGCACGTTACTAGAACCAGAGTGTTTAAGCTTTTCAAAAGCAAGACCACAACTCTGGATAATAGAATGAACTTTTTGAAATTGAATGTAATGCCTGCAATGTGCCTACAGAATTTAACAGTTAAGGAGCTCAGCTTCAAGTTCCTTTTTAGGTTTCCCAGCACTGAAGGTTAAATGCGATAGTATGCAACAACTGTTAAATGGAAGCAGGCAGTATAGGTTCTATACTGGTCCATTATGAGATAGTTGCTGACCACGTGATCGTGAATGGAAGATCGCTATAAATACTGCCCGCATCAATATTTGAGATAACTACAGGGACACTAGACATTACTGGATTCTACAGCTAAGTTACCAAACTGCAACAGCTTACAGTACTAATAGTAAATACACTTTACTCCTCTGCTTCATGAAAGCAGCAGTCATGCTGAACACTGACATATAAACTGATTTTATGTTGAATCACTGCCTGAGGTGTTTATTACTTTTTTTTTTTTAAATTAAAGCTATATTAGAATTTATTCAGTCAATTGATTGTGATGTCAAAGGAAAATTTTATAGTGTATTCCATGTTTCATAGTACCCAAAGTCACAAGACATCATAAGCAGAATGAGACAACATTGTTTTCCCTCATTCATAATCACACTAAGCTGCCTTCAGAACTGAATTTAAAAGGATTCCACCCCCTAGGCACAACTAAAAAAGCTTCTGAAACAGTTGTCCACCAACCAAGGTAGTCAAATCTGAAGCAGGCTATATTCTGAACCCTTTTATTCTCCAAATCACAAAGTTACCCTACATTGTCATATTTGGCACAATTGTCCCCTACTGAGAGAAGAACTGAAGTAAATAGCTCTAAATAAGGTACATGTATATGATCTCCCTGACTAAGGAGAACAATGACTGCTTGGCACCATTGCAATGAGGATATTTCATGTTTTTGCTTTAAATCAAACAGACTTTTGCCATATCTGGAAAACAGGTAAGCAGGGTTTATTTCACAAATCTATACAGCTATAAGACTAAGAGATGAACACACCTGTACTGAACCAACATTTTCATAACAGTGAGAAAAAAAATAGGAACTGCAAATACCATGCTGTAGCACCACCAGAAAACAATACAGGACTATTTTCACAGAATGGTTGGAGGAAGGACCCGTGGAACTCTGGTCCAACACCCTTGCTTAAGCAGGAATACCTAGAGCAGGTTGCCTAGGACCATGTCCAGATGGTTTTTGAAAACCTCCAGGGGAAGAGACTCCACAGCTTCTCTGGATAACCTCTTTCAGTGCTCTGTCACCTGCACAGAAAGGTGCTTCCCAATGTTCAGACAGAGCCTCCTACGTTCCACTTAGCATCCATTGCCTCTTGTCCTGTCACTGGCCACCACTGAGAACAGCCTGGCTCTGTTCTCTTTACACCCTCCCTTCCTGTATTTATAAATATTGATAAGATCCCCTCTCCTCCCCAAGCCTCCTCTTCTCCAGGCTGAACAGTCCCAGCTCCCTCAGCCTCTTCTCTTTCCTCATAGGTGAGGTTCTCCGGTGCCTTCATCACCTTGGCAGCCCTACATTGCACTCTCTCCAGTATGTCCATGTACTAAAGGGCCCAGAACTAGACATGGTACTACAGATGAAGCCTCACCAGCACAGAATTTCAACCTAGATATAAAGATAGAACATGGAACAAAATTTAGTACAGTATACACTGCAGTACAGTGTGGACATGTGCTAGTGACATTGATTTCACAGTCCTGGTGCTGGTAAGTCATAGCTTGCATTATTTCAGATCTCTGGCCAGTAGCTGCCAGTCTTCAGATCTGAGAAGCAGATTAGTCCCTATGTATCTTATAGTAGCACTACCCATGAGGGTTAACAGTACCAAATTTTATTTATATTTACCTCTGTGAGGAAGAAAAACAAAACAAACAACTAACCACTGTGTCATTCAATTGTGCCTGTGTGCAGGCACATCCCAGTCATAAACATCCCATCTTGCCATCTCTTTTCCCTTGCTCCCTAGCAGCTGCAGTACTGGTTACAAAAAGAAATCAGCATCTTCCCAGGTAACTGAGGTTTAGACTAGACTCACAGTGCAACGACTCTCCATCATCTTTTCATGTTGACATTCAAATGTGGTGAGCAGTTCAGATAACAGAGGTAGATTTCTGGGAGAAAGAAGTTGCCAGTTAAAGGCTTAATGAGACATCTTGGCAGGAAGCAAGCAGGATCATCAAGGGAAAGAGGTGGCTGATCTCATTAGGCTCTACACCAAATACAAACAGGCCTTTTGTTAGCCCCAGCCAGACTAGAATTACAGGACACAAAGGCTCCTTGCAGTGCTGCAGTGTTGGCATCAACCACAGTAAGGATGCTGCAATCACCTCAAGCACACCGCAGGAAAAGGCCTTCCTGTTAATGAAGAACCAGGGCTAGCCTCAGGGACTGGGTTGCCTCCATGAGACTAATAGACTAGTCAGTACATTCCTCCATGTATGCATACTCCCACATCACACACCTCTAACGTGGAAACAAATGTGCTGGCAGAATATGTACATAGACATACCTGGTACGTGTCATTCATCACCAGCATAAAATCAGCCTTATGAGCAATTAACCATCTCAGGATGAAAGCTAGTGACTGGCTATACACCATATACCATCACACAGTATAACTACAATATGCAGACATGTTTTAGAAGAGAAACAACATGAGCTGTTATTTGGAATATTGTGTATGCAATGCTATACTGAAGCACTTTAATTTAAAGCATGCCATTACTTATCACCATTTACATTTTATAGTTAGTGGGAGGACAGACTACCTCTAAAAGGGCCAATTAGGACAAGGTAAATCACAACATTATGATCCATCAACAAGCAGACAGAATAACTGGACAGCAAAATCCACTCCCTTCTGATCCCATTGGGCACCTCACAGAGGACATGGGGACGCAGAGCACATGTAAAAGTATACTGGAGTGTCTTTGCCCTTTTGTGTAACTGCCCAAAATAATTTGGTACTGCTATTCTGATAGAAAACCTGTTTACTGCCATCAACCACATGTTGCCTTGTATGTATCTTCATATCCCACTAAGGGTTCCAATACACTCACCTTTTAAAAGGGTTCCTTTACAGTTAAAACTACTTTTACAACCTTCAGGACTCACCAAGAACACCCAATATTGCTTCCAGGTATTCTACTCTTCAAAAGTATGAGTTAATATGGAGCAGTACAAGGTTAATTTTTCCCAGCTGAATCACTTGTCTACAGCAGATAAATCCAGATATAGCTTCCCATAGAGTTTTAGAAGAGAAATTAGCTAATTATTATATTGTTAATCAAGTCTACTAGCATTTCAGAAGATGAGAGAAACAGAGCTGCTGTGACTTTTTAAAAGTTCTGAAAGTTTTCTGAGAGAATCACCAAAGAAGGGTGCTTCTATTCAGTAATTCAAAAAAGAAAGATTTCAGGGCAACACACTAAAATCAGAGCAAGTAACATCAGTTACCCTCTCTTACTTTCTATGAAATATTTCAAGAAAAACAAAACAAATATCATATTACCTTCACTGCTTTTTTAGTGTTCATCAGGCAAAGCAATGAATCAGACCCATAGGCTAGCTAAGGATCAAGACCAATAGGAAATAACTCTACCTACAGCAGAGTTAGAAACAAAGTAAGCAAACCCAGGCCAGATATTAAATGGAGCCACTAACTTGATGGGCAGACTGAGTGGTGGGTGAGAATCCCAGGTGATAGTGGTCAGGACAATTAAGGCTAATTAGTGCCCACAGGTCCCTGATGTCTAATTGGTACAAAAAGAAAGCAAATACTTAAAACAAAATTAAAAAGCTTTTCATGTTTAATTTTGTGAAAGGTTATAAAGAAAATTATTTGATCTTTAAAATGTTTTCAAAGAGTCTTTGGCTTAGTAAGGATTTATGTCTATGTACACACACGTAAAAATGTATACAGATTAAGATAATATCAATCTTGTGTTTGAATATATGTATGCAAATATATTCTTTTGATAATGAACTCTGGAAATCACATTAGGAATGAGGGCAGAAGGAAAAGAACAGGTTACTATTTGAAAGCAAAAGTTAATTCCCTTTGTATGTGCCTGCCTTTGAAAGCAAACATGGATTTTCAGCAGCAGAATTTGAAATTGGACCATATGAAACAAACCAATCAAACAAACAAAAATACAGTAAGTTTTGCTGCACAGATAAGGGCAGGTTTAATGAAACCATCTTCTTTGGAAAAGTTTACAATTAAGAACACAGCCATTTACTGTGTTACGTTGGTGCTTACATACACTAGTTTTTCACATATCAATAAAAACAGTGTAAGAAAGATGTGGACCAGTTAGAGCAGGTCCAGAAGAAGGACACAAAAATAATCAGCTCTCTTATGAAGGAGATGCTGAGAGAGTTGGGGTCATTCAGCCTAAAAAAGGCTGAATAGAAGGCTTCACAGAATTCTTGTTGTGGCCTTCCAGTATTTAAAGGGGACATGTTTCCTATGGGAAAGATGGGGAGGGACTTTTTGGGGAGTGTAGTCATAGGACAAGGAATAACAGCTTTAAACTGAAAGATGGTAAATTTAAATTAGATATAATGAATAAATTCTTCATGATGAGGGTGGTGAGGCACTGGAACAGGTTGCTTAGAGACCGTGTGGATGCACCAAGGCCAGGGGTGTTCAAGGCCAGGTTGGATGGGGCTTTGAGCAACATAGTCTAGTAGGTGTCCCTTCCCATGGCAGGAGAGTGGAAGTGGAATCTTTAAGGTTCCTTTCAACCCAAAGAATTCTGTCATTCTGATGGTAGTGAAGTAGCAGAAATACATACCCAATTTATTAAACAGGTGCCTAGAGTGTTTCATTTAACATATTTAAACCTGGAAAATGCATGAAGCTAATGCAAGCAGTGAAAAAAAAAAAAAAAGTCGGGGAGCAAATGCTGTATTGAGAGCTATGAGATAAAGCATTAGGCAGACTTTGTGTTTCAGTTAAGACCCTCTATTTTTGTTAAAAACAAAACAAAAGGCTGAATCAAGGCTGAAAGGACTGCTAACAAACACCCAAATACCGCCAATTGGTGTCATGCTGAGGAACACAAGCACTGGTGGTTGAAATCCTGCTGTTAAAAGCATAAGCATGCTTCACATGAAGAGTATTTTAGCACCAATTAACTATTTTTAAAGCCAGTTTTACACCCCACCCCCCACATACAAACAATCTGTACATGAGTATAATGCAAGTGTATGAAAAAATGTTCCAGATATTTTTAATACTAAGTGTACAGTAAAAGAAAATCCAAACTACATCTGGAGGGCCAATGACACAAACAAATGTAGAACAGCATAAATTTGGCAATGTCATGTCAGTCATGATAGAGGAATCAATACATCTGAATAGTCCATTGAAATTAATTTAATTTAAATCTTTAATGATGCATATAAAAATTTCATAAAAGACCCATTTATCAGAATAAAGCTTAGAAGTCAGCTATGCTTTTCTGAGTGGGGAAAGAAGCAGAAATATGCTTAAATGCTACAAAGAGAATAAAATTAAAAAACACTCTTAAATTCACCACATTCATTTTTATTTAACTGTTGAGCTATTCAAAATATTTTATCAAGTTTAAATGTATTTATATTGCTCATTTAAAATATAATTTTAGTTTTCTGAAGTATTGTGGCAGGGCCACTGAATTTTAGTATCAATTGTTTATGATAATATTGATTCTGATGGTATTAAATATTCTCTTTTGAAGCTTCTACATTGAAGTTTTTTTAAACAATTTGAAACCTATAGGATGATATTTTCTTTAGAAAAAATACTGAAATTCCACTCTGTCTGGAATATAATTTCCCTTTGAAACCTGTGTACTATTTAAGGTACACCAAAGGTTCTTATGTTCATGTTGTCACAGATGTTCCCTACATGGAAAACACTGATGAGACTTTTCAAATCCTGTTCACATAAGCATTTAAAATGTATGAGTTTCTACCTGATGTGAATAATTTGCAATAAGAAGCCAGGAATCAAGGTAAATGGAAAGCTTTCAGAAGTGATTTTTAATAGTTATTTTAATAAATAACATCAGAACCTATGTCAGCAATATACATTATAATCTAATCATGTTCTTATCTGCAGCAGGAACACACAAACACATACATACATATAATTGCCATTAAAAAAAAAAAAAAAAAAAAAAGGAGGTAAGGAGGTTCTTCTGGCTTTCTCCCACTGTTATTTCTTTTTACTATTGTAGTTCCTAGGAACTAGAGTTTCATGTTGCTATTACCCTAAAATGAGTCTAGTATGAGTTCAGAAAGGTCAGCATGAAAGTAAAATGAGAGTAGATATCTGTAATGTAAAATAGACTGTTATCTTTGGTTTTCCTCCATACTAAAATTCTGTCCCAAGTTCTATTTATAAACAAGAAACTTAAATCAGTTTTTAATAATCAAATTTATGGTATGATGTTGAGTGTAAGTTTTGAAAAACAATTATCACAAAGGTGAATTTATTTCCAAACTCCTTAGAGTATTCAGATTACAAGTGAATTACAAGTAGTTTTTAATTATTATTTATTTTTTTTTTTATGAATTACACTCCAGCCTTAATGAAATATAATCCCCATTCTCTTCAGAAGCTCTTCCTGTCTTCAGATGTCTGTAGGCATATTATGTCTTTTCTAATTTCTTTTATTTAATGCTTCAGTTTGAGAACAGCATAAACTAACTTCAAAAGTATCAATATATAACATACTGAATTTCTGATAAATGTGGGTACCATTCCCAAATAGAGTGACCTGTTACCTCATAAGCTTTTCCATTTCCCATTATATGTTTGGACTGTCTGACCTGAGTATTGATTTATAGTTTACCCTATTTTACCACATCTGCTCACTTCTGACTTAGGTACAACTTAGGAGTGCAAAACTCTTAAATTCTATGTGTCTTTTATAGAGATTATAGAGATATGTCCTTGAAAATAATCTGCTTGCTTCAAAGTTACAAACACAAATTGAGTGCCATGGTCCTTGACATCACCTGGAGATCAACAGCCAGTAGAACAATAATACCAGAAAGAGCAAATTGTGATTTCATCATGGATGGATCTAATTCGCAGGTCTGGCTGAACACATGCATACATGCTCACATGCACATGCACGCACACACACACCCCTCAGAGACTGGGAGAACATTGTGACAGGGCTGTTTGCCACCATGCAGAAGAGAGTCTAAGGTGGGACCATTGCCTTCTGGACTGGTCCACTGCCAAGGGTCAGTGTGGTATCATGTGTCCATCCATTCATACATCTATCTGTCCACCCGTCCCTCTTCTCCTTGCCACCTCTCCCATCCCCCTTCCCCAACCTGGTATACTCTACCATCTCAAAGGAATCAAGGCAGGGCTCAGGTGACGGCTTAGATTGTGATCCCTATGTGTGCAAACATGAGTGAAAATGTATGAGCAGTTTTCCCTGGCAGCCCTCATTTGTTCCTCTTAATTGAACTTATCCTGTCACATTATTTTGTGTTCCTCTCCTTTCCCCTGTTAGCATATGATTTTTTTTTCCCTTAATATCCTTCAGTAGCTTGAACCTTTTCCTGTTTACAGTATCTGTTATGCTTTAAAATACAGGTTTCAAGAAGGTGCTCCAGATTCATGATGACAGCTGCAGCTTTCTTCTTTTCATCTGTCATCAAAATCCCAAAAATGTCCTTTGCATCCAATAAAGATGCAATATTGACATGACTTGATTAAGCCTATGCATTTTTTTTGTCATTTTCCCTTTAGTCCATTGAAAATTTGCAATGCCCTATGTAAATAACTGGCAGGATATGTTCAAAAGTTTTAGTTTAACACTTCCAAGGAATAATCTTCCATTTTAATTTAACTCAAAACATTAACCAATCCATATAATCAACATTCCACAACTGCAACTGTAAGCCAATTCTTTACCTCTAGCCATGACAAATTAATGCACAGACTGAGAAATCTTGGAGTTAAAAACACTTCATGTAAATAGCTTTTGATTGTTTCTATGTTCTTGGGGACATGCTTAGCAAGATCTAGGCTTTCTTCCAAACATTTTTTTCTATACTTGACTTCTCTCCAATATGCATTCCTCATTTTTCACAGTTCAGTGCATCAGTTACATAAAACTTCCAGGAAACTACATAATTCAGCAGGATTAAATAAGCACCCAAAATCATCTGAAAGATAGATATGGGTCACAGTGTAATAGCTTCATCAAGGCAAATTTTTGTGGACTACAAAGATCTTGTGGCTGCCACTGTGTTTGCTAATGGTCCTGGCTGTCTTCCAGGTGTCAATGTCCAGACATAGAGACAAGGGTTGCTTTATTATTATTATTATTATTATTATTATTATTATTATTATTATTATTATTATTATTATTATTATTATTATTATTATTTAGCTAGGACTATCCCTTTTTTTGGTGGAGGTGGGGGTGGAGGATGGAGGCCCTTCTCTCTGTTATTGAGGGCAAATCACAGGGGAGAAAAACAAACAAACAAGCAAACAAACAAAAAACGATGAATGTTATGTTATTAGAGTACAAGTAAAGTGATGTTGATACTTAGGTGCTGCCTAAGGTAGCTTATCTGTGTTATGTCTTGCT